CAATAGTTACTACTACTATTCTCACTTTGAACTGTCCCGGGTATTATTTCACTTGTTCCACTTGTCATTCTAAATCAATTCTTTTTTTTACAACTTTAAATTCTATGCTATTAAATTTCACACAGTATTACCTGACGTTTTTATTTTATTCGATTCGTCTACTAATCCTATAATTGCACACCCTTTCCAAGTTCCATCCATCCTATGAATTATTCTATATATGACACTGATTGTTTTGCCACTTGACATTTAACTATGATTATAATCACAAATATTTTAATTGCGTTTCTTACTATTATTATTATTTTATGCATTCACACATATGACTGAATACCCTCACCGGATATAATTTCTCAAGGAAAACCATATATATACGATTGTACAGCTTGATGATAAATTCGTTGTTGGAAAGAGTCTCTTCGCTGAATCATTTGTTTTGATTTTCTATATGTTACAATGGGAATTTTCCATGAATTAAGAGGTATTTTACGTTAGGGTTAGGTTAAGGAAAGGCAAGGGTCATTGTTAGGGATAGAAGACCTAGATAATTACATGCATCGGAGGTGGTTAAATTACTCCGTTGATACTCTAAACTAAAACTAAGAGGTATTTTTGTCACACATCAGGGAAGGGTACCCTGTGTAACAGTTTCATGCCTTCTAACTGATTATTTTCATGAATGTGTGTATTTTATGCGAAAAAATCGCCTTTGTTACCTGGTTGGTGCGCAAACAGACTGAGAATATAAGAAAAGGGTGTAAACAGCGAAGAGAATTTTCTTTTCGACGATTCATTTTCATGAGTTGTACACGGTCGTAATTATATGTATTCAACAAAGAAATCTTTAGACCAATCAGATACTGGTGAAATTTGTCCTCGGAAAATGCATTACGTAATGTAAGGTGTAAGGTAGAAGGGAAGACGAAATGTAAGTTAGAAAAGAGGCAGAAGTTGGGATGACGTAATAAGTGAGAGATAATGACTAATCAGTGAGATTGTGTAGAATGGACAGGAACTAGTGGAAAGGCGATAGAGTGTTTTTATATAAAATCAGTATGAAAACGAAATGTTATTAATAAGCAGTAATAGAGTGGTAATAAAATATGGATGGCGGCAATAATAATAATGATAATAATAGTAAACTTACATAATAAAAAGAAGAAGCAAAATTATAGTAAGAACTTTACTCTGGGCACGGTATATATGTATTCCTTTCGAATGCAGAGGTCCGGTTTCAGATCCCGAATAGTCAATGATTCAGCTATGTACAGATGGCGTATTCGAAGTCCTTTCGCACGATATTGAGGAACTCTATGTAGCACTGTGAAGCACATATGTGAGGGTGCTCGATGTCCAGAGATCACAAGCTGTTCGAAGTTGGAGCTGCTAGTATTCTTCTTTTATCCTCTGGCTAGCTAACCAAGAGAGTCACTGTCCCAGAATACGTTTATGGAATTAACGTTGCGTATAGTCGATATACTTTGCTCCACAGGAACAAGTAAACTGATAGATACATAGTGAGGTGGCCAAAAGCGGTATCTTATCTTTGATGTTAGACTAGCTTAACTGTCTGCTGGAGAATGTGACACATAAGGTGGCTGTTTATGTTATGTTGGTCAATACATAAAAGAAGTTGAGTAATTGTGTTGTAGTTACATAATAAGATGAACTATTTAATGAGTGAGTTTTGATTAAGATGTATATAGAAATGGAGGAAAATATGGAATTATGTAAGAGTTATAAGGAGTTAGAAGAGCAGGCACACAACCATCAAGTCAGTAGAAATCAGCACGCTTGTTGCCATGATAGTAGAATTGGTTAAATGCTTCCCTTTTGTATGCATAACCCTGTTGATATATGTGTAGAACTTGAGCACTGTGGTAGTATGTAATTCCATATTAATTTGTTTATTAGATGGATCACACAGTCAGTGAAACAGTATTAATTATTTACTGAATGATAAAGTTTCGAACACAATTTATTTATTATTCATAATCATATCAGTTATAATCACACAACTTAGAAATGTTTAAGTGACAATAGGGCACAAAAACTAAGTAGCACCAAAGAAAATCTAAGATAGGAAGTGAGACATATGAGGCAAGCTTTAAAACTTAATGATTACCCTGATAAATTAATCAGGAAGTATGCAGGAAAATGTAAAAATAAAATAATAATAATAGTAGTGATACGTACGGGTCATAATAATAACATAAACGAAGACATGCATGTCAAACATGCACGGAATAATGACAACAACAACAATAGGAAATTCAAATCACCAGTAGTACTTCCATACAAAGAAGGAAACTCGAGAAGCTTACGGAGAATTCTCAACAATACAGGCAGGAATAAAAGCGGCATTCAAACAATCCACAAAACCTAATTAGAAAAGTGCTTTGTCGGTTAAAAAATCGGTCCTGAGGAGCCAATTAAACAAAACAATTTGGTTTATTTGATTATGTGGAGGATTTCATCATGAGCTGACATCAGTTACAGAACCATTGGAAAACCATCATGGGCCATTGGATCAGGTCCCAGTAACTCAACGGTTTACGAGCTCGCCTTGTAACCAGAAGGTCCTGGGCTGAAACCCCGGTGGGTGCGTACTGTTGAAGAGTCCCAAACTAAGCTGACGAAAAAGCTGTCCAGTACTCGCTGTTGGTTTTCCAATGGTTCTGTAACTGATGTCATCTCATGATGAAATCATCCATATAATCAAACAAAATCCCTACAAAACCAATACTTGAAAATTTGGTTTACCTAGTACTCCGCTGGAATGACTGTAAGGTGAAATACATAGGTCAGACTAGTAGAACGTAGTTAGTACGTCAAACTAGTGGGGCACAAAATCTAGATTAGTTGACCCTAATAAGATAAGAAATCTGGAGAATAGTTAGTTCAGCTACAGCACGCACTACATGCAGTTACACACAACCAACCATACAGTAGAATGGATGGGATAAGAATACCGTTTTAAAATCTAATGTAACAGATTGGAGAGAGAGACTGATAACGGAAAGTTTGTTTATGGAATCAACTAAAGAGAATACCTGTAATAAGAATGATTCAACATCTGTCCACCCACCTGGACATCTGGAAAATTCATTCTACTACCCCTACGATGACAGATGGGAAAGAATAAAAAAATATAAAACTCAAGTTTCGAAGTTGTGTGATTATAACTCATATGATTGTGAACAATGGAATACACAAGTTCGGTTTTCCCAACTGAACGACTAGGACTTCAGTAATACAACGGCGACGAAAGCCTATTGCCTTTGGTAGGTCATCTCTCACCCTGTAGATTACTTTGAAGCAGGAGACGTTTGCTGAGATGGAATGGTTAGTGCTGACATGGTGTTTGATGATTGCACTCCTTACAGAGCCACTACTACCTTTTTGCATCCATGCTGTGGGATTGTGTTCTTGAATCCTTTTGGATAGGGTACACGTCGAATGACCTATGTACCCTTGGCTTCAGAGGAGCAGGTGAACTGATATATGCACATAGAAGTAGTCATGTCAGAGATCTTGTCCCCCAGGCTTTTGCAGACCAATCGATAACTGGAGAACACTAATGTGAGCGTTGCTGCGAAGAATTTTCTTCTCTTAAGGATATCCCAGGTAGCTACATCTTCCTTGAAATCCAGGTTAATCTTCAGGCATTATCAAAGAGTCCATACAAGCCATTAAAATGTCAACAAAAGTTGAACATTTTGATCCAATCAGTTACTTAACTCCCTACCAATCGGTCCCTGGTTCGAATCTCACTCCACATAATTCAGCCTAGCTAAACAACTGGACAGGCCTTCAGGTGAACATAGAGAAAACAGAGGTGATGATGAAGAATCCTGGCCAACACCACCAACAGCAACAACAACAGACAACAATCAGCATAAATGGAAGGAACCTGAAAGAAACAACCTCATTTACCTACCTGAGAAGCATCGTTTCAACTACAGGCTGATGGGACTGATGAGGATATCAAAGCGAGGATCGGAAAAGCAAGACAAGCTTTCACTACTCTCAAGTCTGTTTGGAAGTCAACAACACTCAGCATGGAAATGAAAATAAGATCCGGATTTTCAACTCCAATGTGAAGTCAGTCAGTGCTACTTACTATACAGATCAGAGACTTGGCACCGCGTCACGAAGGGCACTTCGAACAAACTACAGACCTTCATCAACAACTGTCTTCGCTCACTACTATTCGTGATTAGATGACCAGGAAGGATCAGTAACAGGGATCTCTGGGAGCGAACCAACCCAGCAGGAGCCGATTGTGCTACAAATATGCAGGAAGAAATGGAGGTGGATTGGAGGCTATACTCTGAGGAAACCATCAAGTGACATCACTAGACAAGCCCTTGAGTGGAAGCCGAAAGGGAAGCGGTGAGTTGGTCGTCAGTGCAAGGGTGACTTGCAGGAGGTCATGTGAAGAGGAGATGAAGGTGTGTGGGCAGACTTGGAGCCATGTGAAGACTCTAGCAGAGAACCGAAGGCACGGTTGAAGCCGTATGTTCCTCTAGGAATTAAAAGAAACAATAATAGTAATAAACAACTGGATAATTTCATCTACAGTCATACACAGAGGATAATAAGTCTGTAGCTCACAGCTCAGTATGGGATAACTAAATTTCAATCATGGTCACAATGAAAAACATTTCTAAAGATGGTTTTGTCTACTTTTATTTTTTTCCTTTAACTTCACACTGATAACTCTGTTAATTTCACAGTATGAAATTGAAGTTTTAACGACCAAAGCTTGATGAACACATTTCATTCTTAGACAGATAGGCAAAATTTCAAGGCAAAACTTTGTCATAATTAATATATATATATATAGAGAGAGAGAATATGACCTTTAGAAAAAAAATCAATTATTACAAGGCCTTCCTTCATTCTGTGTATTGATTGATATTTCTAACAATTTTAAATTGCTGCATCCCATTCACACACACACACACACACTGACAATAATAAACATTTCTCACTGTGAAAATTATTTGTTATTCACTGCCCCATTCATTATGCGTAGGATACGTCGACCATTCTCGAATACAACCTCACTGAATCCACGAATTCATCCTAGACATGATCATGAAGAGGATGACAATGATGCAAGTATGCTACACCATCATCAACACCAACATCAACCTCATCACCATCACCATCCAAGTGTAAATCGATTAGATGAAGAAGATAGACGTTCAACGCATCGTTCATCATCTCATAATCCACATGATTCACATCCTCACCATCATCAACACTCAAATGAATCGAATTCATCAGTGAATAGCTCAATTTTATCGGATCAAACAAATGAATTCTCCGTGCAGCAAGTGCAACAGCACCACGAACAACACTCAGTTGGATCATATGCAACTGATGAATCTTATATAAATTTATTAAACACATTAAATAACTATAATACTACCACTCCTATTACAGATGATACAAATCCACAGAAATACTCCCATGTTATCAAAGCTATCCGTGAAGTAATCTCTTGTTGTGCATGTTATGCAAGTGACACCCTAATGAAAGAATGTATGAATGGACATTTAATATGTCAAAATTGTTTTTTAACTCTACGACAAGATGAAAGACCCCAATGTCCAACATGCCGGGCAAGCCTGTATTCAGATACACGACGTGCGCTGATAGCACAAAAAGTACTCTCTGAATTACCTGATACATGTCTCGATTGTAAAACAACAATGCTGCATAAATCTTTAATAAATCACCGACTTAATCTATGTCCTAAACGACGTGTTGCTTGTGGTTTATCACCATTTGGTTGTGAATGGATTGGTAATGCTGAACAGTATCAACAAAAACATCAACATGAATGTGTAACACGTAAGCGTCTATTGGAACAACCTATCGGGGATTACCTGGATACTTTGTTGCATCGTTTTCAGACAAGAGAACAAACAATGCGTGAAACATTCCAGTGTTTTTCAACTGTGCTACATCATTTGGAAGCGCATGAAATACAAACGACATCGATTACACTGTCAAGTATTAATATCACGGAAACAGATGTATTATATCGTAGCGATTATTTTCATTTAAACCAATCAAGATGGACTATTGAAGTACTGATTAAATTTTTACCAGAACAAACTTCTACAAATCATACTCCTACTGATACGAATATCAATGCACCGTATAGATCGGATTCGTCTACAATTCAAATGGATTTAACTTTACCTTCAACAAATCTTAGTGTTGAACATGCTGAATGTTCAATGGATGAAGACACAGATCATCCTCATCAATCCCAACAACACCACCAACAACAACAAGAACAGGAAGAAGATCAGCCTCTTTTGTCATCCTCATCGACATCCCCGTCATCATCAATACGTAGACGTAGAAATCATTCTTCATGCCTATTTACGCGACATCATCCCTATCAAAGAACATTTAGCCTAACACAGAATCAAACATTTACACATACAGAACAATCGGATATATCTATAAATGAGCGGATAATCTCTCCACGTGTATCCCCTTGTATATCAAATTCTAACTGGTATGGTGATATTACCTTCAGGTTGATTAAAGAAAATAGTCCTGGTATTGGACGTAAAGCATTTTCATTTGTATTTCTCCAATTAAAAGTACCTGAATCTGGTGTACATATATATGCTAGACCACAGTTGCACACATATCGATTTAATGTTCGTGGGGAGCATACACCATATTATAAAATATTACCTATACGTTGGAGATATATAAATAATTTACGCGAAATGATTAAACATCGTTTAATTCAAGTAGAAGTGGTTATTGCTAGAAGAATTTCAGAAGATCATACAGATAATTAATTTATTTAATTAACTCTTTTATCAATTATATCATTTATTATTTTATACATGATAAAAAATTTAAATTTCCCTCTCTCCCTCTAATAATCTATACCGCCATTTTTTATATATCGCGCTTAATTAAAACACTAATTCAATGTTTCAATGTCAGCTGAATGCATTCGTAATGTAATGCTTTTATGAAATGCTTTTCTAAGCAAAAAAATATTAGAAATAGAAGATATATGATGATACAGATAAAAGTAGTATATGCACTTTGTCAATAAAAAATTCCTTTTTCTTTCGTCTCACAATTGAAAAAGAGTGAATACTTTTTCTATGATTTATAAAATTTTGTCTTGATTTGATGAAAGAAAAACAAGATATTTTTATTCTTAACATTCCAATTTATTTTTGTCTTTTGAAGATGATAACTATACCAATAGTATTAATGCTAATAATAGGAATAATCTATTGAAAAAAGAACGACTATATCATTTCATTTTCCTTATTCTTTAGTCTCTTGGAGAGTATTTTTTCTAATATAAATTACATTTCTTGATTACTGAAAAGCTTTTTTTGATTATATTATTTTTTAAAAGATTCTATGAAATGTTTGTCATTAGTTATGTGAACTATTAGAAGAATAAGAATTTCATCTGTAGAAGGTTTAACAAGTGAGGTTTAGCATTGAATAATCTTGTGTCTAAGTATAGTTAGCCTAAGCATATATCAGATGGATATAATACAAGTTTTACCAAGGATTGATATCACTTAGAAAACCATTGAAAACCAGCATTGGAGTAGTGGACAGTCAGATATTTCGTCGTCAGACTAGTTTGGGACTCAAGGGCCACTGAGGAATCGGGTTTCATTCAGTGGCTGAATGGTCTGTGAGCTCACCCGAACCCTACCTGTGGGTGCACACTACTGGTGAGTCTCGAGGACTAGGAAGAGACAGCTCCCCAGTACTGGTTTCCACTCGTTCTCCAACCGATATTAATCAATCTTGAAAACTTCAAAAAACAAATCGAATCCCTAAAACTCAACTCTTGGAGACATAATCCATATTTTTAACGAGTTGATCACGGATTGATATCAGTTAGAGAACCATTGAAAACCAGCACTGGAGTACTGGACAGCTGCTGTTTCATCCTAGTTTGGGAATCATAGGCAGTACGCACCCACTGAGGTTCGAACCCAGGACCTTCCGGTTACAAGGCAAGCTAGCTCGTATACCATTCAGCCACTGAGACCCGATTCAATGGCCAGTCCATGAATTCAAACTTCTACCAATTCGTGATTTAGCACGACCCCAACCATTGTCGATGGTGGGACATCCATCCACACACGTGACACCTAATTGGACCTAACTGGTCACGACTTCTCACTAGAACTCCAGGAAACTCCATCTTGTAGCAAGTCACTAGCGAGAATCAGACGCGATTCAATGGCTCATGAATCGGGTCCCAGTGGCTGAATGGTATACGAGCTTGATTTGTAACCGGAAAGTCCTGGGTTCGAGTCTCAGTGGGTGCGTACTGCTGATGATTCCCAAACTAGGATGAAACAGCAGCTGTCCAGTACTCCCTGGCTGGTTTTCAATGATTCTCTAACTGATATCAATCCGTGATCAACTCGTAAAAACATAACTAACCCTTACAAACCAAACTATAGAAAACATAATCCAAATGAAAGGAAGTAGAAATTGAGGTTTTAAAATATTGAAAAATTATTTTAGGTCAAAATATTTGGTGAATAGTTTCAGGATTAGATAAAGAAATTCTACTTTAATCAAATCAAAAATGGCTAAATTGTAAGTATTTACCTCCAGAATAGTTTCCATCGATAGCTGCTGCAGATTTCTGGTACACTGGGTAAATTTCTGATGAGAACAGCGACAAACACGTGTAACCGCTGTGTTAAGATGACTTCGAACTGGCTAGGAAGTACTACTACTCGTCGAGAATGATCTTTAACCACTCAGATCATCACTAGTATATACCATCATGCCACACTGCTTGTTTCTTTGACTGCTATTTACAGTATCAAGCAAATAGAGTACTTTGATTTGAACTGTTTGGTTTCTAAAAGAAACTGTGGTAAATTCCTCCCTCGAACTGTGTAACTTGCAGATGACGGATTCTATTCTATCTAGATTTTACTTGATAAGTTTATGTTGTTTGAAAATATCTTTGCCCATCTTTCGTAAATCCAATCTCCTGAACAAACCACAGTACCACAATTCAACTTTGGAATTTAACAAGCAAGCCAACATGGACGAGAAAACTTTCAGAGCTTCATCCCACTGGCCCATAAGTAAAACCTAGTATGTACATTATGTTCAAGAATTCGTAAAATCTGTCCCGAAGACACGATAGGCAATAAATTAAATTCGTTAAGCATGCAACCCTACTGCAGAACGAGTATCCACCAAGATTCATCGACAAAAACATGAGGAAAAAGCCTCAGTCACCAAAAATTCATAACTGTTCTTAAGAAAATTCCCTTCGTGAACCTGGAATTCAAAGGTAACATCAAAGCAGAAATACTTAGAAACCGCCATTCTAAATGTCTGTAAAAGACATTTCAGGCAGTCAACGTACGCACCAAGCTCACCACCAGACAACTGATCCAGTCTAACTTTAAGATAACGCTTTCGGTCATTCCAATGTGTATTTATCAGTTAACCAGTTGGTGTGAAGCAAAGCATGTCGGCTGTATGTAAAGCCAAGTCCACAAACGTATTCTGGAACAATGTCCAACTTGGCTAGCTAGCCAGAGGAGAAAAGAAGAATAGCAGCATCTCTATCCTCGAACACCTCGTCAACTCTGGATATCGAGCACTCCCGCACGAATGCTTCACAGTGCTACACAGAAGTCCCTCAAAATCGCCGTGGCCACGGTAACGTTCTTGCTAAAATTTCGTTTCCTTTTATTATGTAAGTTTACCATTATTATTATTATTGTTCTCACCACCCCTATTTTATTACTACTCTATTACTGTTTATTAATAACACCGCATTTTCATACAGATTTTATAAAAACACTTTATCGTCTTTCCATTAGTTCTTGTCCACACTACACAATCATGCTGATCAGTCATTTTCTCAGCTTCTGCGCCCTTTTCTAACTTCCAATTAGGCACCTTTTTTGAGATAACACCTTACATTACGTAACATCTATTCGAGGACAAAGTTTACCAGTATCTGACTGGTCTAGAGATTTCTTTGTTAAATATATAATTACGATTGTACGGGAGCTTATGAAAATGAATCCTCGAAAAGAAAATTTTCTTCGCTGTTTACGCCACTTTCTTATAACATAAACAACTATGTTGTTTTGACAACTCATCACCACTACCATCTTACCAATCTTCATCCACCACCCTAGTTAAAATTTGACTATTCACCACATTAAAAAAATATTTTGATGACGTAAACAACCACTTTAACTCATTTTTCTTCTTGTCTGACAAACCTAATGTACACACGCACATATTTATATAATTGAGATTGTACAGCTGAGTGAATGAATTCGCCGCCGGAAAGAGACTAATTGCTGAACTACGTGTTTTGTTTTTTCATCAACTTAAAGTGATTCTATGGATAGTCACTAGCAGTGGAACCATGGGACGAAAGTTGTCATAAAAGGGAAAAGTAATTCTGAGGTTAGCCATATAATACTGCCTAAGCATTACACATATTAGTTAAGATGATAATGGAAAGTGGGAAATTGAAGTCTGTTGCGAAAATCAGTCGAGGAAAATAGAAATCCTGATTGATACTTTCGAATATTGTAGAAGTTGTGAAAAGGGGGTTTCTAGGGCAGATAAAGTTCAACCATGGATTGTTTGTGAATACAGGTATCAGGTTTACAGTGTTTTTTGGCACAGATTCAGCAATTCAAACAGGGTTTGTGTTGTTCTGTCTGTTGATTTTTATTTCAAACAATTAGTGAACATACTGAACAAAATTTTTCAGCATACTTAGTTCCAAATTCCTTTTTTCTTCATACAGGATTTACATGCAAAGCAATAATCTGAAGTACATATCTTCATCTCGTTGAAGAACTGCACAGCATTTACCTGGAAACAAGTTAAATCAGCGCACAAGTTCATGTATGGGTCCATTATAGATATTATTATATTATTATTGTTTCCTTTAGTTCTTAAAGGAACATAGGGTTTCACACTGACGTCTCCATTGCGTTTGGTTCTCTACCGACGTTTCCACCTGGTTCCACGTCTGCCTACATGCTTTCGTCTCCTCTTTACAAGACCTTTATGTCACCCTTGGACGACCAACTTGCCGTTTCCCATTCGAGTTCCACTCGGGTGATGGCCTGGCGTGTGATGTCACTTGATGGTTTGTTTTCTAGGAGTATGACCAATCCATCTGCATTTCTTCCTGATTATTTGTTGCACAATGGGTTCCAGCTAGGTTGGTTCGCTCATTGCCAGAGATCCCTTTTGCTAATCCTTTCTGGCCTGCCATCTGATCTTGATTAGTATTAAGCGAAGACGGCTGTTGATGAAAGTCTGTAGTTCGTTAGAAGTGCCCTTGGTGACGTGGCGCCAAGTCTCTCATCCGTATAGCAGCACTGACTTCACATTGGAGTTGAAAATCCACATCTTGCTTTTCATGCTGAGGGCTGTTGATCTCCACACAGACATGAGTGAAATGAAAACTTGTCCTGCTTTCCCGATCCTCGATTTGATATCCTCATCAGTTCCGTCCGCCTGTAGTTGAAACGATACTTCCCAGGTAGGTAGGTAGGTAGGTAGGTGGGTAGGTAGATGAAGGAGGTTGGTTCTTTCAGATTTCTCTCACTTATGTTGATTGTTGTGTTTTGTTGTTGTTGCTGTTGCTGTTGGTCAGGAATCTTCATCACCTATGTCTGTTTTCTCTATGTTCACCATCTTCTCTGGATGCTACTTCTGCCAACTTGTTGCTTTTCACTTGCATATCTTCCAGTTTGTGGGAAATCAGTCATATATCATCGACGAAGTGCACATCCTC